AAACTTTCCGATCGCACCTCGTATATATAATCAAATTCAATATTCTATTTTATATACAATGGCCATGTTGTGGGACGATTTTTATTTTTCATATACGTTAAATCGCATTATATATTTAATTAAATGATAATGAAATGTGGCACAAAAACATAAAACAGCCATAAACATTACCACTGTAAATTGCAGGGACCAAACAGATCGATTACAGTTCCAAACGGTCTCTTCCTATGAAGGTTCCAAACAAACTTATAAAAGCATGCATGTTTTTCTGTTGTTTCCTCACCTAGCCACCACGCCCCAACCCACTCAGAGCTCGTCTGTCTTGGTTCAACATCCAGGGGTCCCGAGTACAAGGACAGACACCGCCATGCTAGCAGCACCCCCACATGAGGGCCCAAATGCCTCAGGGCTATGATTTCTCCTGCAACAGAGACAGATATTCTCTGGAATCAGATCGTACATTTCTTCAAACTTCTTTCACCTCTTGCCGAAATAATAATGATTAATTTCTAAGAGCCTTATTAACCATTTGAACAACATGGATAAACTGAAACCACATATTTGTGGTCCCATGTGTCCGCTTACGTTGGTATTCTTATCTCCAAAACTACTCAAAGGATTTGTTTCTTGAGTCCACAATAAGACTTCAAGAAAATTAATATCGATCCAAAATAGAATCCATAATTATAATTTAGTCCTATATAATATCAACACATATTTGTCGTTTTCTCAAAAAACGGTTCTTTATATAGGCTAAAGTTGTTTTAAAAAAATTAAATATAGGAGCTACTGAGCTCCATAAATTTAATTTGAAATATTTTTTGACATAATTGATACGTAACTTGACACAAAGCAAAGTAATTTTGACCAAGACAAGTATAATATGTAATGTAATTTAGTTAGAAAAATGGGCTTGTATCTGGATAAAATTAACATCAATACCAATGAGTTGATGCATAACAGCAACAAAAGAAGATGCAAGACGACTACTCGCACACTTATAAACGTTTAGGTTTGTATGAAGATGGTCTCTTCTGGTCTCCTACGTCGTGTGTTCTAGTAAAGTTTACCAACGTTTCTGAGGTGATTTCTGCTTCCATAATCAGGATCCTGATAGCACAAATACTGCGCCGTGCACAGTAAAAGAAAGCCAGCATGTGAAATTAAAATATTCTGTATCATTTGACCACTCTGATTATGTTGTTTTCTGCCCCAAAATGTCTCGCTGTTTCTATTGCAACCAACAGCCCTGAACCTGTGATCCGTCTTACCAATGAGGGCAGGACTGTTCCCCTTCTCCACGTTGTCGTCCACGTACGCCAGCCCATGAGATAGCACCGCGATTCCTCCAAGCCCGGCGCCCAGCTGGATGAGGAACATTAGCACCATGGTGAAATGGCAGTATTCTTCTGATTTATGCTCAGGCACCGTGATGTTGGTAAAGCAGAGAGGTTCTCCACTTGACTCTGTCAACACCAGGCCAACTTATGTAAGTACAACTTTCTGTATTTCCGATTGGCCTGTTTAAATTTAATGCATAGTAAATTGGCCGAGTTCCCTTACAGAGACGACCATTAAAAATAGTTGAACGTCATTCACATTAACCCTCAGGATACTTAGGCAACCCGTTCTTCAGTGCCTTGAGCACCTGCGGGTCCCATCTTTCGTTAGTTTTGATCTATTAGACAGTTGGTAGGACCCCTTGGACGAGGGTTCGGCCCGTCGCAAGGCCTCTACCTATTTATATGACAGCACAACACAGAAAGACGCGGACAAACATCCATGCCTTGAGTGGGATTCGAACCCACGGTCCCAGTGACCAAGCGGCACAACGCAGTGTTGAGGCACTTGAAGAACGGGTCGTTCCCAGTATCCCAGTATCCAGTACGGAGTGAATTAGACGAGCTGTCAACTTGACTGTGTGTCAGTCATCCTTGTGTCTACCAGAAAATTTACCTCCAGGTGCAGTGCTAGTCACGTGGCCGTGGTCAGGGTTGGTTTCATGTACGAGGTGGGGAAGAAGCAGCAAGAAGCACGTAAGAGCTTGGAAAGTCGCACAAGTCGCTATCCAGCCGGGGCGATTTCCTCTGCCGCCCCAGAAACTGATAACGAGCCCTAATACGCCCTGGGCTATCTCGTTGCTCACCATTATCCAAGCTGAAAGACACGTGATTAAATTTCTGGTAGCATTTTAAATCGGTACTTTGAAGTCACTGTGAAAATTTAATGACTTGACAGTTTACAAAACAGTACGAAAATTACTGTGGTAATACTAACTGAATTTTCATTTTATTAACCATTTAAACCCCAATGAAATATATATATATATCTTTAACAATCATTAAATCGGCATCTTGTATTTATGGGTTTCATTTGATTCTCAGTGTATACGGGAATTATTTCCAAAGACAGCAAAACCAGATGACATTTTTATTGGAGAAGGATACTGTTGTCTTTGAGGTACGGACTGAATTCTTAAATATTATTTAGACGAACTTCGTCTTCAAATAGTAAAATAGATTAAGTTTGCGTCGTGTTAGAGAAACCTTGCCTAACAGTTACTGCAAATCAAACTATCTGACAGCTAACAAACAATGTATTTACAACAAATTGAGTTGTGTGGAGAAATACAGCTATTTTTCGGTTTCAGATGGATACCAGTTGTGCTGTTTAAGTTAAGGAAACACAGTTGCACTAACTGTCCGCGACTATATCAGATTTTTTGTTTTCTGTGATTGTTTTTTGTGGCGTAATCTGTATGAAACACAACACCGAGGGTAGATTTTGCCTTCAGAACGTGGAAGCTTTCTTCAGAAGCTTAAAAGATCTAGAAAGCTGTAACCTTTGTAATAAAACATTGATCGTTCAAGAGTAAACGGGTTTAAAGTTCACAGGTTTCGTGACTTATTAAATAAACATCAGATTTCAAATAATTTTTTCTTGTTTTCTCCGATACGTGATTTAAGTCCCGGACATAGCATCCGCAATAAATGATGCCTAATAATATTTTGTGGAAAGCATAAAGTGAGGAGATCCACCAAATGTGCTATTTTCACAGCCCTCCTGTTAAGCACTGACGAATTCATAAGCCACACTTACAAACTAGGCCGTGTGAAAATCCAAAACTGTTAGCTACAACATTAACAGTAGCAATAAAGTAGCCCATAGCAGCGCCTTGAAGAAATCCGAGTGATGCCAACACTGCCACAAACACCCTATGAGTGGCAAATTTCTGTATCCAGGATGGCTCCCAATAGAAGCCATTCATTCCTAGACCACAGTGCAGCTGCCTAGCCTGCAGTCTTACAGGGATACTGAAGTCTACGTCCAGAGTCTCGCTGCTATGAATGGGCATTTCCGGTCGAATCATGGCTCCAGAAACCTTCGAAACACAAAGGTGCACAAATGTGCTTACTGGTGTTTCAAACAAATTTTCTAGCATGGTAAATCAACTGAAATGATCCCTCATGTAGCTATTTTCCAAAATGCATGTGTTGAGGTCTTTGTTGAAAAACTGATAGTCACTTATCTGATCAAGAAATTAATTATTAAACCGTGTTCATAAAATTTCGTCATCTGAACATGTCCTTCTCCAGTTCAATCTACTTTACACATTCACACATTCCAAGGTCCACTTTAATATTATCCTATCATGTGTCTAGATATTTCAAGTCTTTCTTGAAACCTCCCTCCTGTTATTCTCCTCAGCACTTAAACCTCAAACGTCAACAACATTCTTCCTTCCCTTACAGTGAGAAATCAAGTTTCACTTCCACATAAAACAGGAGAAATTATGCCAATGCTTTTGAATATTCAGTGTTTATAATTTACATTTATTTTGCAGATATTAATTCTGCATCTATCACATGAAAACTGGCGTCCATCTTTAATCACTGCTCGTATATTCAACAGAAGATCATTGTGGAGCATAGTCTAATTATTTTACGTGAAAAAACTTCCAAAAAGGTTAATTACAAATATCGTAATACAATTAATATATTAATCGATATTTTGATATTATGACTCGCTTAGTTAAATTCTTATCAATAATCACTTACCTGCATTTTATTTATATATCGGTGAGACTAACTGAGTTTTATTTACGTATCTTCAATGTTCATTTAATACACATTTCCATTAACTTTGCTACACACCGTGAAAGCGCCATTTCTTTCCTCTCAAGTTTCAAAATAACTACGAGATACCTCGCTATCTCGAATGGAATAAGCTGAAAGGTTAACACTGTCACTAATCTTATCATCGTGCTGAAATTATCTTTATGGATGAATTTGTCAGATACACACGCTGCGTTCCACTATTTCTCCTGAAATCAGTATTTCACAGAAGTCTCCTCCGACGATAACTGGAGTGAAAAATTATACGTAAAGAATAACTTACGTTAACTGAATTCACGATTAAAGATCGACCTTAAAAAGTTTATACTTTTATCTGTGAATAAATAAAGTTACTTGGTCTTACTAAACACTAATGTTCATTGCCATGTTCAAAACATTTCTGTTCTGAGTCAGTTGAATACAATCTCAAACATAACCCAACTTTCTTTAAACCAAATTACATGTTATCCTCCAATTAGCGTTTGCATAGCTTTCCCAAATGTTTTTCTGTTCAGCTTTTTTGGCTAAACATTTTAATGTACTTTTAGTATCATGCAGGCCCATAACAATATGGCTGCACAGCGTCATAAAAATTTAGCTTTAAGTTTATTGGTAGTAATTATTAGACAGTTAAGAGAAATATAAATTTCAATTCAGATAAAGGCAACAGGCATGCCAACGTATCTAGTAAAAACGTGTTTTGTATATTAAGAGTAATAAACAATAAAATTATTTGAGATGACAGTCATAACTTTCAATTACTGGTAGTGGAAACATGTAACCCCAACGAGAATTATGGCATTAAAAGTGAACTACCCAAATGTAGGCTAAAATAGTTGATAGTTCCACAATCCCTTGAGACAGTGAACCCACAGTTGCGATAGACAACATAAGGAAGAAGATATAACAGAACCAAATAAAAAGGCGAAGGAGAGGAAGGAGAAGGAGGTGATAAAGATAATAATGAAATAATAATAAGGATAAGAAGCAGGAGGAATATAAGTATAGAGATAAAGACGAGGAGAGAAAGAGGAACCATATGAGAAAACAAAGAGAAATCAAAGGACTAAAGCGAAGAAAGAGAAGATTAACATGAATGAAAAGTAGAGGAAGAAGAATAAAGTAAGTCGAAACTGAACAATAAAAGTAAGACAAAAGGGAGGATGGAAGAGAAGGTGAGAAAGATAAAACGACGAGAAAATAGGATAAGAACGAAACTAAGGAAAAATAATAACAAGAGGTGGAAGAATATGAAGGAAATAATAAGAAAAATAGAAAAACGAAGAGTATGAGAGGAACAAACGAGATGAAAATGAAGAGAGGCAAGAGAATGGTAAAACAGAAAATAATGCTACTGTTGTGCATAGACTCCATGCCTGTTCTGTTTAGGAAACATTTAAAAAGTAGAATTCTTACTGGCGAGCAGGATATAAGAACATACACAGTCGAGAAACATAAACGTTTAATGGAATATGTTCTTTACGTAATTACTTTTCGACCTGAACGTAGGTGTCACATTTTATGTGGGTCGTTATTGTTCGTTTTCTTACAACAGATTATGCGTTGCGTCACAGTTCACAGGAATACCCACGTCAGATCAATAACACTGAAGCGACGAATCTTATCATGATTAGTACATTTACAGGGATCATCGATTTCTTATCGACATAATTATTCATGTTTAGTTTGATTTCATATTTCACCTAATCTCCATGAAGTCATCCCATCAAAAGACAAGACAGCTGAGGGCTGTGCCGTATCTAGCGACGATCTTAGTAGAGTCGGAAGTCCAGCCAGCGGAAGGTTATGCAGACGGTACTAGCAGCTATGGTGGGAGAAGACTTGCAACAAAAGCAAGGATTAAAACAGGAAGAAGAAAGAATTATTGTACAATACAAAAATAATTAATTAATTTGAACCGCCTTCAAAACAAAGTATCGTATGGATAAAATAACAAAATTATAGACTTGTTCTCATACGCCAAACAATGTTTTTGAAAAACGTCTTTTAGACAACTATTATTTTCGGAATTGCAAACCGTTTGGCGTGAAAAAGATGTAGATCGGAAATAATATTGAAGTTGATCTTAAAAATTAAGATGCACGGATATGTACCAGATTTAAGTGGCCCAAGACAGCGTCTAGTATTAGCAGCCTCCTGTGGTGACAATTACGAAGTTTTGGTGAGCCATAGCAAAATTAAATATCTTGATGTTCGAAAGAAACATTCACGGACATTCGACAAGAGGCAGTAATCCAAAGTGCGGTTGACTTGAGACTTATCACCATAAAACCAACATGCTATGAAATATTTAAACACACCTCGAATGTGGATGGATTTTATGGTAGCCTGAAACCTCAGCATCGGAAGGCCATAGAATGTCGAAAATCTCTAGAGGCCAGGTTAAATGAAAACGAAGACAGTTTGGGGATTAAAATCACTGGTTGCCATTAAACTGATTTCATGTCACTATTTTATTTTTGATATCATTGACAAAAATTGGTATCGAACCGGGAAAATTAATAAATAATAAGCTAGTACTTACACCAAACACTAGGCTACCGGAGTACAAAGCCAAATCCCGAAACATCGTGTGTATCGAATATAAATAAAAAATGGACAATGTACAACACATAGCGGTGGTCATGAATCAAACATTGTCACAAATGCTCAAGAATATATATGCAACTTCTGGTAACATTAGGCAGCTTTTGGAAGTACTTAGAATGGGCGACGGAAACGTTGAAATACCACAGTGTTCAGAACTGAGGATTTTGTTTATTGTTCTGATTTTAAAGGCATGGGAAACGAGTGCAAGAGAAAGAGGAAAATGGGGTACAGATACGAAAAGATAATTCCCCGTTAAATTTCAATGGGAACATTTATAAATTGTATTCCTGATATGTATAATAATGAAGATACATCATCATTTTGAGACTTCTGAACACCTTGGACAAAGGTACATGAATATATTGCTCCATCATTGACGATAAGACCTTTGCCATATGGACTCACCTTCTTTTATACTCTTTTCCCCCTCGAGTACTCGTAAATAGAAATGTGGAGGTATTGCAAGAGTTTTTTTAATTTTTTGTTCATGTGTGTTGATGCGCACGCAACATAATCCCCTCTTAGCCCCTCTCCCTGCATTGATAGCACGCAGAACGACATTGACTGTGTATGAGGCATAGGAAGATTGCGTGGTTGACTGTTAGCAGCGAAATGCAAGTCCAAGGTCGTCATCTTCGGAAATCAGCCTAAGTAGCAGAGAAGGTCAACAAATACAAAATCTTTTCCTCATGCGGCTATTAGCGTCGGCATGTTGTTTTCAGCACTGACGAAATTGGTCAGGACTTCCTGCTTCAGAACGTAGCATTTCTTTGCGTACGTACTATTTACTCTCTGTATTCTTTCCTTTGTTTATAATTGTCTTTTTTTCTTCTTGCTTTCTGTTTCTCTGCATATTTCTTCTCTTCTTTCTCTACTTTCCTTCACTTCCTTGACTTTACTTATCTCTGTATATTTTTTCCTTGCTTCCTTTCTCCCTCTGTTTCGTTCCTTCTTTCTGTTTTCCTCGTCCTCTCTTCCACTCAACAGATTTATTTAATTTGAACTTCGCTTACGTTACTCCAGTGACACAAAGCTTATAAATCCTTGACATTATACGTCAAAGGCGACATAACGATAATAATTGTCCTGTTTATACTGATTTTTACATTTTCCTTATTTCGAATCGAGACAGTTAAAAACTTCGTGGTATAAACAGTTCACCTAGTGTCTGTTGCTATGAGAGTGGAATCAAGAAAGTTTGACAAAAATAAATATCCCACAGAATTTTGCGTTAGACCTGCAACAATCATTTCGAAAACAGGAAGATAATTATAAGCACAATATATGTCCCACATGTTTCAACAACCAATAAATCTTCATTTTGTATTTATAGGTTTTGTATAAACAGCGACTATTTCACCTAACAGCATTGACCGGTTGTTCCTGTAATGTTGAAGTGTTTTCTTAGCGGTACGGACCTTTTTTATTTAGACGAGTTTCGGCTTCAAACGGTTGAATTGGAGGTCATGTTTCCAATTGTGTGGATAAGAGGTGAATAAAACCAACTGAAAATCTGAACATTCCTGCATACCACTACACCACTGCCTTCGTTCGTCTAAAATATACAAATGGTGTCATGCTGAAACACAGTTTCACAAAAATCGATTTATTAGTGTCTTTGAAGTGTGTGTTTAATTAGGGTAAAGATAGACGAAGTGACAGATTCGTAGCCTGCTGGTAAAGTTACAAAGAAGTCGAAGACACTTTGCATGGCGCCTTCTTGTAGGCTGATGTGAGAACTTAAATTATATAGATTGTTTAGTTTCATGTCGTTAAATATTCACATATGGAAAAAAATGTTTAAAATAAATTAAGTGTTGTATTGAAATTATTATTTTACTATGTGCCTTTCCGGGACGATGAGAATTTTTTTAAGAAATCGGCACACTTCAATTTGAGAACTTTCAAGAACTTACCTCTTCTTCGTTTCGGGTGCAAAAATGGAACATGGACTGAGTGTGTCTGAGAATAAAATAAACCTATAAATATGAAAGATACGAACAAGAAAGCTTCAAAATTTGTTATGATCCTCACCAAATATTATTAGGGACATTAAATCAAAGATAACTAGATGAGCCAGACATGTAGCATACATAGGAAGATGAAAACGCATAGCTTAAGTACAAAAACTTCAGGATAAGGAATGACTTGGGAGATTTACGTATATGGGAGGATAATATTAAAATGGATCTTACAGAAAAGGGGTGTAAGGATGCGAACTGACTCAGAACATTTTTCAGGGTCGGGGTCCTGTGAACACGAAATACATTTTCGGGTTCCATAAAGTAAATAATTTCTTAACCAACCTAGCGATCATAACATATGTAGAACGACTCTGGTCGATCGATGCAATAAGGCGTACATTCAGCCAACATAAATCAAAATTAAACACTGTTAACAGCCTTGTGTTATAGACTCACCAATACTAAGTTTCTTCAAAATTCTTTCAATAATTTTGTGTATGGCATATGCGGACAGACCGAAGGGGCACGAACTTCTATTATATTATAAGAATTTTGTGTAAAAGTGTACAGCAATCGCTGGTTACAACGTTGAATCCGTAAAGATTCAAACAGATTTTACCCAGCTCTAGAATTTATGCTGGTGTTAACGAGACGTTGGACAGCTCTGCTTCAAGTCAAGCACCTCATCAATTATGCGTGTCGACAAAATATTTACTTCCAGTTTGTCGTCAAAATGCTAAAAGAAATTT